CGACGAAGACGACGAAGACGACGACGACGACGACGACGACGACGACGACGACGACGACGACGGCGACGACGAGCGAAAGCGAGAGCGAGAGAGAACGACAGCAGGGCCACGAAGGGCACGAAGTAGGCCACGAAGGGCGAAAGCGGGGACACGAAGGGAATGCGTATGGGCCCACGAAGAGCGCGAACGAGCGGAGGCCAGGAAGTGCAGATGATGCGGGGCCACAGAAGGCAACTATGGGGCCACTGAGGGTAGCAATTGGGCCACGTAGGACAGTGAGGGGGACACAAATGGCAACAGCGGGGCCACGAAGGGCATGCACATGGGGCCACAAAGGGCGCGACTCCTTGGTGCCTGGGTGTCGGGAGCGCGGCGGTTGGGCAAATTGCAGAAAAATTCAAACGCAAGGCCATTCTTCAGTAAGTTGCAAGAAAATCTCCAGCGAGAGCGCGACTCCAAAGCGCCCGGAGAGCGGTTCCTGAATAAATTGTAAGGAAATCCCCAGCGAGAGCGCGATTCCTTAATAAAATGCGAGGAAGTCTCGGGCGGTAGCGGGGGTCCTAGCTAAATTGTAAGGAAGTCACAGGCGGGAGCCGTTGTTGTTGTAGCCCGGGGGCCAGGGGCCCAGTTTGAGCATCAAGACTTCCCCTGTCAAAAAACAGGGTACGAGCGTCGAGGGGCACACTTTGATTAAGAAAAACAAGTATGCACCGGTGGGGGAGGATCAACAATCATTATTTTGAAGAAGTGAGAATACAACAACAATAATTTGAAGACTATTCGCCCTTATATGCTCGAGGGTCCAGTAACGCGTAATTCCCAAACCCTCGATACCCACCCTCTTCGTCTTCGATCGAACCCCTTTTGGGGGGTATATCTTTCTTCCCTGCAGGCCGGGCCCCAGCAAGCGGCGGGGCGGCCGCGGACCGTCGGCCTGGCCAGCGGCAGCGCTGATCGGAGGGGCGGCCGCGGACCATCGACCCGACCCCAAGAGGGACGGACAGGGAATCGACCACGACGACGTCGACGACGACGACGACGACGTCGACGACGACGGCGACAACGACGACGGCGACGACGAGCGAAAGCGAGAGCGAGAGAGAACGACAGCAGGGCCACGAAGGGCACGAAGTAGGCCACGAAGGGCGACAGCGGGGACACGAAGGGAATGCGTATGGGGCCACGAAGAGCGCGAACGAGCGGGGGCCACGAAGTGCAGATAATGCGGGGCCACAGAAGGCAACTATGGGGCCACTGAGGGTAGCAACTGGGCCACGTAGGACAGTGAGGGGGACACAAATGGCGACAGCGGGGCCACGAAGGGCATGCACATGGGGCCACAACGGGCGCGATTCCTTGGTGCCTGGGTGTCGGGAGCGCGGCGGTTGGGCAAATTGCAGGAAATTCCAACGCAAGGCAATTTCTTCAGTAAGTTGCAAGAAAATCTCGAGCGAGAGCGCGACTCCAGAGCGCCGGGGGAGCGGTTCCTGAATACTTTGTCAGGAAATCCCCAGCGAGAGCGCGATTCCGGAATAAAATGCGAGGAAGTCTCGGGCGGGAGCGGGGGTCCTGGCTAAATTGTAAGGAGGTCTCAGGCGGGAGCCGATGTTGTTGCTGTTGTAACCCAGGGGCCAGGGGCACAGTTTGAGCATCAAGACTTTCCCTGTCAAAAAAAACAGAGTGCGAGCGTCGAGGGGCACACTTTGATTGAGAAAAACCAGTATGCACCGGTGGGGGGATCAACAACAAGTGGCACGTGTGTCATGGCTCTTGCACAAAAAGGAAGGGGGAGGAGGAGGAGGAGGAGGAGGAGGAGGAGGAGGAGGAGGACGGGGAGTCCCAGGTGGGGAGGGTGGGGGAGGCGGCGTGCGTCGCGACGCGGCATAGAGTGCTCTGAGCGGAGGGAGCACGGGGTGGAGGTCCCAATGGGGCGCTGGGGGCGCGGAGAGGAGGGGGGGGGTGCCGCGAAGCGGAATAAACTGTCGGGGCGGAGGGGGCACTGGGCGGGGCTTGGGGCAGAGGGCCACGGGGCGGGGGTCCAACTGGGGCGCTGGGGAAGGGGGGGGAAGGGGGGGAGGTGGCGCGCGTCGCGACGCGGAATAAAATTATCGGGGCGGAGGGGGCACGGGGCGGAGCCCCCGCTGGGGCGCGGGTGACGCGGGGAGGGAGGCGAGGGAGGTGGTGTGCGGCGCGACGCGGAATGAAGCGTTCGTTGCGGAGGGGGCAGTGGGCGGTGCCCCCGCTGGGGCGATGGGGACGCGGTGGGCTTGGGGCAGAGAGCCACGGCGCGGGGGCCCCACACTGGCGCTGGGGGCGCGGGGGCCGGGGGGGGCGACGCGGGATAAAGCGTTCGTGGCGGAGGGGGCAGTGGGCGGGGCCCCCGCTGGGGCGCTGGGGACGCGGGGGGGCTTGGGGCAGAGAGCCACGGCGCGGGGGTCCCACACTGGCGCTGGGGACGCGGGGGGGGGGGGGG